ATTCACAGTAAACTCGTCCAGAGCTCCTGCCTACTAATCAATTCCCCGACAATCCGCGGCCGCCGCATTTATTAGAATCAGCTGTTAATTCATCACACACAGGTTGACTGACCGGCTGAGTCTACTATAGACGGATTCTTATCACTTTCAAGTTGTATTGCAAATTATTTAGGGGTTTAAAAATTAATTTAATCATTATATAATACAGTTGTATACATTTTCTTTACCATGCGGGTTTTATTTCCCAACCTCTTGATTGTTAATGTTTTACAAACGTGTAACTAACAGGATGATGTTGTTCCGAATTCTAAAAAACCAGTCAATGAACTATAACCATCTCAGCTCAAAGTACAAACAAAAGCTACGTGTATTTATTGTTTTTTTTTTATATCAATCCAGGAAGTATCAAACAACTACTACAAGTTTGACAATTGCATAACGTTCTAAGATGTTTCAAGCAGCAATTAGTATGCATTACGAGGCCTTCTTATTCACTTCTTCATTCTGTGACCTCTGTTCTTCTACAACCATGGACAAAACCCTCCTTAACTGTTGCCGAGGGCCAATTTAGAGTGTGTTACGACATCCAAGATCGTAGGTGAGAGGTCGCAGTTTCGCCTGCTCTGTTCTGATTCTCGGCCGAGAAAGCGAATCTTCCTCTATTAATAATAATCTGACGCGTGCACCACATCGCTTCCTTTCCATCTGACCCGTTATACATTCGGCCACGACTTACATCGCGGCACTGTTAGGACATTTGGATCTAGGTTTTCAGGTGTAAAATGCTCAAAACTAAAAATTGCAAGTAAAACACAATCACAGAGATTAAATTGGTCTAAAAATATACATTTTTTAAATTGAATATGGTGTGGAACTCTTCGAGCTGCCAGAAGCTGTTCAAAGATCTGGAAACGTCTATTCGTTTAAAGATTCTCTCGTATAATGGACTAAAACAACAATCCTCTTATGCACAGGTTTCCGGTGGAAACCAAAGGCCTACAGTCAGGATTTTTCATGAGCCCTAGACGGATATGTAAAATGTTCCTTGAAGAATTTTATGTAAAATGTAATAAGATGCCTGATTCGAAGTGAAACTACCAAAGAATCCACCCATCCCAACATCCGTTATCCAAGCCAAAATCATAGTCCCTTTATTTTGCGTGGAACCATTGATAAAAGGACTTTTATGGTGGATATCTCCAACCTAGCTTTACCCACCACAGACAGGTGAACTCATTACAAGTCACACCCAGTTATTTAAATAGTTTCAACTCAACCCCACCGATGGACACTATCTTCATACTGACTCGAAAAAATAATCTATAACTAAGCCTATTCCAGAATGAGAATCCGAACTCAAGCGTCTGTTCTTCAAGTACTCCTATGTACAGTGTCTTGAGAAATCGTGTTTTATCTAAACATGTCTCAGCCTTTCCTTTGAAAACCTGCAGGATCTTGTTACTGTCCTAGATGGGATGTAGGGTAGGAGGAGAGTCAGTCTGGAGGTGTAGGGAAGGTGGAAGGTGCAGTTCGACCTTGGTAACAGCTGGTGGAAGCTCAAATGTCAGGGCGAGTCCAGTACTGTGTTACAAAACTGCAACACTCGTGCTGTAGGTAAACCAAAACATACTCTATATTCATATTCATATCATTCTCATGGATAATTTCAACGATTTCGTGGTATGTAATGTTTATGTAGGCATTGACTTTGAAAAGTTCAAGAAGACTTCCGATTGTAAAAAGTTGTTTTCTGAACCCGATATGTTTTGATGTACCTATTTAATGTTCGTTACTTTTCAGTGTTTTAGGGTAGATTTTTGTAGTTTTGTTGTTGGATCATATTACCAATTGCGACGGGGTTGCAACTGAGCGAATTTCAACCAAAATACGAGTAAAGTGAAGGATTAGGGTAAAACGGAATGCAACGTCTTGTGTAGCTTTGTTACTGATGAGACCAGTTTCGAAACACCATCAATAGATTCAAGCTTTACACTTCGGCTACAATATCAGAGTCTTTAAATTTCAGTAAATGTGCGAGAAATAAGCTTCGATCCCAGACATAACTCTTTTGAGTATCTCATTTGAGGCAGAGTTCTTAGAACAATTCCCAAAGGAAGCCTCTGGAACCCTAAATATCTTTTGGGAGAGGACCCCTGGACCCTCGGGACAAGTCTCTCCTTTAAAACGCTTTCTGGATCCGTCCCTGAAATAACAAAGCGAGTCTGTCCTTCCATGTCACACACCAAACCTTGCCAGTTCAAACCACTGCAAGCCCAAGAGATAATTATTGTAATTATTGCCTACATTGTAATTATTTGTTTGCAACCATGCTGGTTTAATAACTCGGTGACAGGTCGGATTGTGTTATGATAATATAAGTTGTCCCGATATAGATCAAGTATATGATTAATTTGAAATGCTTACATAAATAAACACATGTTTAACCCCAATTGAATGTATACGCCTACGTCTGTACGTAGGTACACGTCTGTAGGTAAAGCTGACATTTAAAAAGAGATTACCATCCCTATACATTTACTTGAAGTATAATAGGTATTAGCATGTTTCTTATTTTGTTTTAGACCAAACTAAATCCGATTTATATTGAATTTATACGTCCGAACCGAATGCAAGCTGTTGCTCATAACAGGCTGGATTTTTCAATAGAACGAGAAATCTACTTGCTCCATTCAAAGTCAATGTTTAGCTTAATAAAAACGTTATTAAAACTACAATAAATCTATTAAAATTCCATTTGTTTATTAAAGTGTAAATGAGAGTTGAGAGCTGAAGATGCGCCCTTGAATGTGAGCCATTAATGTTAAACCGATCCCTGATGAATTGCCGCCTCTAGTGTGTATTCAAAATTCATCTATAACGATCGTAAACAGTACAATACCTATTATGGTGCACCACAATACACAACAACATGACGGCCATAAGAGACATTAATTTATTTTAGACCACTTAAATTAGTTCTCGGTGATTCTGAAATCTGTTGCTCGTTGAGACGCTGCATTCAGCTAGCCTTGATCGAACTTTGCTATCCAAAGGGACAATAGTTAATTTTGCAAATAATTATTTTTTTAATTTCTTTACGGCGGTTACCATTTTACAAAATGCGTACATGTTTTACTTCGCAATGTTATTTCGTCAGGAGAAAACATCTTATACAATAATAGGACTATCAAGGGTTCAAATTCTGTCACGGACAGGAGTACACTCATATTACAAAACTTGAATTTTATTTTTAACTTATAATGCATAAACATCGTTGGGTTAGTGAATTAATTAGTGACACACCCTGTAAGACACGGGATTGTCAATTACGAGGAAAGTCTGTTGATAATACGATGACTGGGCTCTCCCATATAAATAGTCGCCACCGCCAGTTAACAACTGTATTGTATAGCCTATGTTTGGCTTGGTACTGTGGTGGTATGTGCCATTTTCAATTAAGGAGTCATGAACGCTTTTTTACGCCCGGATGGCGGTTCTATAGTTTTGTAGATATGCTGTAAATCGGCCCTCCCTTGCATCAGAGGGTTTGCACCGAAGCTCGATGCGTTGAAGACTAGCAGCCTGGCAAACACCGGGATTGCGCCAACGCTACCCTAGGTAACCGGGTAATCGGGTGGAAGATGGAATGTATCCTAACCTAACCAAACCCGATAATGAAGGCAAAAACTAAAGTTGAACTTGGAGTATTTTCTGAACTTGAAGAAATGCAATCCCGGTGGACCGACGACTAGTGCTAGACTCACACTAGGTACTGTACATTGTAAATACAGGGATACGATTTAAACTCATTTTATAAGTTTTTCTACACGATTTTCATTTACAATCAATTAATGAATCCTGGGATCATTTTCGATATGCGGGTCCATCCGATTTTGTCAATTTGATGCGGAGGGCGACGCTCTATAACTATGATTGACACCATTGTTGTATAATTTGCGGCTCTATTATGGCTTTGTTGGACAATTTGCAGTGAGCCGTCTCACTAACATTCAATTCCAACTTCCTTTTTCCTTTGTCGTTACAAATAAGCTACATAACAGAGGATGATGAATGTGTGAGATGTGTGGCTGTTGCTTTTGCGTAAAGGCCACTTAATGAAGGTAAAAATAAAAAAGTAGTAGTTATTAATGCAAAATCCATGTTACATAAGCGTAGAGGGAACAAAAATGTAGGAGGCAAATCGAACGATTGTATTATACTGATTGTATTATATTGGCTAGTCTATTATGAAATAGATTATGAATGCTTAACAATCGTTAATCGTTAACTGTCGAACAAACAATATAAATATGCTTTTGTCAATAAACAAGCTTCCCTATGGCTTATATAATCTTGAGTGAAACATTGGCATACAATTAATTGACGAAACATTTTGTTTTTAAAGTAGGCTAAGTTAAAGTTATGTTATAGTTTTTTAACAAAATTATTAAATAGACATAGGGGTTATGTCATACTGTAAAATTATTTCATTTTATACGAAAGTGGAGCGCACTTTTTATCCTCGATTTCTCAATATCGGTAAGAAATAAGTGAATAATGTCAAAATGAATAAATTAATTAATAATGTATACGTGTTACACAATATTGTGTGTACCTACATTTGCCATATTCTCGCCAAAAAGCAATAGGCCTACGAACGAAAGAAAAATTGAGATGTAGAATGCAAAAATAAAATTAATGTGTTAGATACGATTACAAGGTAAATAACTAAAAATTAATAAAGATCATGATTTGTTGGCTTAAAAAAATTAAATAGATACCAGATAAACTAAATATAACTTACTGCTCTGATATTATTTGTAATACTGAACTACCATCGTAAACTGTAATGTTTATACGTGATTAAACCCATTTGACAATGGGGAATATTATGATACAACAATCTGAAATCAACAACTCTTAAAAGCTGTAACAATGAATCTACTGCACACAGCATGGCTTGACAACAATGAAAACAAAAACAAACAATAATCACTCACCATAAAAATGAACTAGCTCGGTCGAAGAGGTTGTTGGTGGATATGAAACGAGGCTTATAACAATCTTTACATACAATAAAACATTGATATTTGATTGTAAATCACAAAACACAAGTCACAAACCACTACAAAGCGAGCATAACCTCCAACCACCACTAACAACACCTAGCGCGCTCCCGGACTGACGAACTCTGTCTTTCTTTTTTCTCCAGCCCAGCTGAGAGCGTGAATCGCGGCGGAAACACCCGAAACAATCCGAACATGACCGAACACGGCCGAGTGTTCAGATACAGAAGATCCGAAAGACGTGGTGTTTGTGGAAGAGTAAACTTATTACTAAAAGTATAACAAATAATTAGTAATAAATAGCACATTATCTTGGTTTTGTCCAAGGACGCGAGGCACGAGCCCGGGATTGATTTTACATTACTGAGCTTGAGCGGAGCACATGAAAAGAGCCCGAAATTTTTATCCCCATTAGGTTCACTAATCTTAAGCGTGGAAAGAGCCCGGGTCTCCACAGGTACCTGAGGAGGAGGACGCTGACTATAAATTGTGTGTATATATAGTAGTGTTTTAGTAAATAGTGTTGTGTTTGGTTGTGTTTGGTTGAGTTTGGTTAGGTTAGGTTAGGTTAGGTAAGGTAAACAGACTATATCTTTTAGTTTTTAGTAATGTAAATATCTTTGAATAATATAGCCTATATTTTATTTATGTATTTTTTAACAGTGTATCTTTTAATATTGTAAATAATTTCATGTATTTCAACTGTGTTATTGGTTCTTTCTCCTTTGAAGACCCGTTGTGAAAGTTCTAGAAAGAGACCGGGCTCTTTTCGCACCGTCCTAAGAGGGACCTTGGAGGTCCGGGCGCTTTTCAAGCGTCTGCCTGAGTTTGTTTTGTTGAGCTAGCTAGGGGTAGCGGCATTATCACTTAGATAAAATACCATGATGATTTGGCAGGATTTGAATCCGCGCTCTACCACTAGACCTGCTCGCTCCCAGACAATAATGTTTTAAGTAAATTACTACTTCTACAGTATTTTATAGTTCAACATGGAGCAATTTTATTTTTGCAGGCATTAGGTGTAACTAACCAAGTTTCAAAAAGTTTTTGAATTCGAGTGTATGAATAAGAAAATACTGTTCCTTTTATTGACACAAATTATTTATTAAGACGGGGACACTAAAGGACGTATTTGTGCCCAGATATGAATGACGAATGAGCGTAGAATGGAGCCTTGTGTAGCCTAGCTTTGTTTCTAAGATTACATATATATTCTTTTCATTTCATCCCAATGATTAAGGACATCTAGAATTATCTTCAGAATGAAATTTTATCTTGGATTTGCCAATTGATAAATTGGGCTGAGAATCATACTTTATATGTTTTCTTAAAAATAAAATGTTAAATACAATAGTTTTACCCATCCACCCAAGATCAATTAAATTTGTTTTTAACTTTCAGTTGAATAAAAACTTAAACGGTGAGAAAAATCTTACTTTTCAACTACGGGACGTCTCCAAGTTAGAGAACCTGCAGGGTAAACAAATTTCTCAAAACTTCGTAAAGAGAGTAAAGATTGATTTATGAAACTTCCACGTAAAAGTCGATGAACTAAATGAAGAGTGAAGTGAACAAATAAAGCGGAAGGAAAGACGAAGATGTTTGATATTGATAAGGAACTCAACTTTCGTCGAATGAAGCGAAAAATGTGATTCGTCTTTTGAGTTGTTCACTTTGTTCCTGTCCTGAGCGATTGTGCAAACTTTTTGTCAACTCAACGTTGGCAAGTGAGACAATAAAAATAGTCGTAAATCTCGTACAACAACCAAATTTATAAATGATAACCAATTCAAAAATAAATAAACTTTTCTTATAAATAATGAAATTGTTCCATACTTTAGTATTAATGGAGATGAGTGTAGGATGAGTGGCGCGATCTTGTAAAGTCTATCCAGAAAGACAGTGGTTCCTTCCAAAAATTAAGTTTCATTGTTATTGGTTTAAAATAAGAAACTAGTACGTAAATTATTGACTTAGGTAATTTAGAAACAGAATAAAAAAAACAGAAACAGAATAAAGTACCTAAGAAATTAGAATAAAGGTAGGAATAAATTAATAGAAATATAGTAATTTGAATAAAGTTAGAATTAGAGTAAATTGAGTTTCTGTCTTGATTCTGTGATTCTGTGCTATTTCCTTTCCTCTATACAACCCCCCCCAAAATTCGGTTTTCTTATCTAATGTAGAAAAACGATTAATCTATTGTCATCTCTGATTAAAGAGAACCACATTTGTTAGAATTAGTTTGTTTTATTGATATAAGTAAACGTAGCCTTCTAAGTATCCGTATCTATTACTGTACATTGATTTCAATGAGCTGATATTGAGTCTCAAGTTCATGATGCCCATATTCATAACGATGAAATCATGGGGCAAAGCCCAAAGTCAAGATATCGGAAAGGAAGTTGACTGCTAGACCTAATAATATACATAATAAATTAGGTTTGTACAACGTCAACACCAGAGTATTTAAAATACAATATGAGTGAAGGATGAGAGTTGGGTGAATGAGATCACAGCTTTAGGAAACAGTTCTTCGTCCAGGACCATTTTGAGGAAATCCCCATTATCACTGATCAAGGACATTTGCGTCTAGTTTTCAATAATCTAAAAGCTCATGATTTTTTTCTGGATACGAGTAACATACCAATTTAGGTTCAGCTATTATTAGTACTGGTACCGCAACAAATGAAATTGGAAGAGAAACAGCATATTTATACCGTCTTCCTAGAACCCTTAGTTAGATTATTAATTTGTCTAAAAATAAATCAATGAAAAGATCCATTACCTCCATTCACTAAAACCATTAAAACCATTGACTATTAAATACGTTAGCCTAAGAATATTTTTTCTTTAACGACTCAAAGGTAATGACTCATCATTTTTAGTTATTAGCAAAAATGATAAAATCATCGTTATTATTTATTTATGAAGGTGGTAAAATTTAAATCAACTTCAAGGTTAGACAACAAAAGGTAGGATAAAAAGGAATACAGAAGAAGAATTTATAACTCCGGAAAAGCTAATTTTATTCTATCCAATAAATTTTTTTTTTATGGGAATGAATAATTGAGCCCAGTTATAAAAGTAGACATTGAAAATACAACGTGTCATTTTATTATACACAATTTTAACCTACTGTACCAAGATTGTAAGATCTGAGTCTGTTTTTTTCTTTAAGTTCACGGAATCTTTATAAGGATTCAAAACTCATTTTGAGCTTTTTTCCATTCCACATGTTTGAGAGTTAATAAGTAATTTTTTATCGTTCGTTTGATCGAGTTTACATGTTTTTATTGAGGAGCGAGGACCCCTTACTTCGAATATGTTAAGTTATCAAATATCACGACACGCACGTTTTTGGTAGATAATCTATTACTTTAGGACTTAAGAGTACATTTGACCTCTCTTCAGAGTAACTGAGTAGCCCAAACAAAAGTAAAGTAGTCTACTTCGAAACTCACAATACGTTCGATCTCACCAAACAAAACTGGGCAGTGGATGAGGATGGCGTGGAGAAGACGGTGGGAGGAGGGGAAGAAAAGGTCATTAACTCCGGCGGTGAGTCACTACTTGGTCTAGGGTCTGGTCGGAGATGGGTATCTGGGGTCTGGGCATTCCACATCCAGGGTCTGATTAATATGATACATACATCTGGCCAGGACAGGGTTTATGGTTGTCGCCGGTAGAGAATGGTACCTGTCTGTAGAATGTTCTTTGTTGGGACGACTGAAGCGCGTCCTAGAGTGGTCACTGGTAAATAAACATCGTGAATTACGTAGGCCTACTTACTAATAATATATTTGTTGTTCACTAGGATCCACTGGTATTAGAATAGAAGCTATATGGATCATAAACATACACAAACTATATCGCTGGCCCGAAAGTAAACATCTATGTATTATTATTTAAATGGAACTGTCAAAAAATTTTAGGATTTAGACCAGTGATGTACAGTAATATGTTTTTGTTTATGACCCATACCGTTACTGATCTAATATTCGTGCTAGTATCCTAATCAAATCAGCTAAATATGTTGAGAAATGTGTCTGTTTGGTATAATATGTGCAGAGTGGGCATTTAGGTATTATACCGACCACACCCAATAATTAACCCAACCTAACTAACCTAACCTTACCTAAGGGTTAGTTAGGCTGAATAGGAAGATTTTGCTATTTAAACTATTTAAAATCTTATTTGGAAATCAATTTATCGGCGTAGTCGGTTTATACAACGAAACATCTCTCTGGTGATTCAATTAACGATTTGATCTAAGATATGATTCCATTCAAAATGGCATTGTATGTCTCCCGTATACACCAACTGAAGACAGTTGGTAGGTTTCTCTAAGGTATACTAAGAGCGTGTTTTCACTACGTTACAAATCAGATGAAGACAATTTAAAAATTTACTTTTGCACCTATACCGAGTATTTTAATGATGGAAATAATCCTCCAAACAAGAAAATTTTGATTTGAATATGATGACAATTCATAAGCAATAGCATTGTCAAGTAGTTTTAATTACAGTGCATTTTTACTAATCAAGCAAGAACACTAGAACCAACATAGGGCAGCTATGCGTGTTTTCACATAAAAACTTAAATAAATTATATCAAGCGTTAATTGTTAAAACCCAACCATATGTTTCCAAGTGTTTATTGCGAAAATGCAATATGTTTTGCCATTAGCATTCAAGATTTGCCATTAACTGTACAAGACAAGAGGATTACGACAGGCGAGAAATTCCTGCATCAGTTGGACATAGGGACGTTGTACTCAACTTTACCAGTAATAGTTTTGCAAGTGCTTGAAAATGAATGTAATGTAACATAAAGATATTTATGGCCCATAAGAACATATACCTGTTAGTTACATAGCTTTCCTAATAGCCTCTAAACTCTACCCGCAAACCCACTGGTAATTTATGGTAATAAGCAATTTAAATTGTTTCTTTTACTGCTCATCAAATTTATACGTGTCTCAAACTTGTTCCTTAAGTCCCTAATCCCGACAAGAAGTGAATAATAATATTGATTATTCTCTAGCATAATATTTTGTAATAGGTTATCACGGGTGGCGTCGTCCTGTAATCCAGCTACTAGGAGGTCA